TAGCAACATGTCGCTGTGTTTCCAGCATTTTTTAAGCCCCCAAACATAGGTGTCTTATGGTGACCCTTCACTGTTTTTCCTGCCGCATTTTAGGACTCATATGTGGCTGTTTATTAGTGACCCATCGCTGTCTTTCCAGTGGGGATAGTGCCATGACAAGGAGATAGTTTTAGCTAAAATTGTTATTTTTCTAACAAAAACCAAGTGGTTTTGTGCCTATACATAACCACATGTTAACTACAGCACTGTTGAAACATAATGAGGTGTTACATTTCAATGTCTCTGTTACATAATAATGTAAAAACATGCGCATAGTTTGCAGAGACATACAATGCCAACATTTTTTCTGTCAATTGGGGTGGTAAATGGTGAATATGCAGATCCCCAGTGGTAATATTGCAAAAAATGATCAGTAATCATCAACTTTGTTTTGGTTTCATGTTTCTACTAAACATAACATATAAAATCTGAATAATTTGAAACATTGCAACTACTAGCAATCTAGTAGCTAACTCTGAACTTGCTAACATTAGAATGCTAAATGTAACATACGAAGTCTATTTACACGCTTAAGGTAATCAAAGGAAAAGTATGCATGATGCAGTAAAGTGTCCCCTGCGGTCAGTGTTTTCCTTCTATCAGATGCTTTTGGATTAATATTACTGCTGCATTCATGTGTATGTTGCATTTTCCTTCTGTAGATGTTTAAGACGTTGCTCATACCAACTCTTTTATATACTGTTAGGTAGTTTAAAGGGATATTTTGCAGATTTTCAACCAGCTTTGTATCAATACAGTGTGAGTAGTATGTGAACTGAAGTGAAGTTCCCTCCATCTAACCAGTGCCCAAATCTCCCTGCTTATTTTCAGTGGCTTTCAGAATGTTGCTCAAACTACTACGTCTGCAATTTTTGTATGCCTGCCATCATGGACACAAAGAGTATAAAAGCAGATTAAAAGAGAGAGCCGCCCCTCTCAAACTCAGATAAAACTCAGATCAAATGGTAAAATTAGGCAGTGCTGATCAAATGCGAACCAAGATTCTGTTACTGCGATACCTATTTCTCACCTAAAAAATGCAGTGCATTCTGGTAGTTTCTACCTCTTGAGCTAAAAGGAATACTGCAGCCTTTTTTCTGTTTTCTCTGGTCACGTAGCACCATCTTTAGTGAGTATGCAAAAAGTATATATAATAAATGTAATTTTTCAAGCTATGAATTGATGAAAAGTCTGCTAGCTGCTAGGCTAAGTTATGCAACATAAAAGGTGTTTAAGCTAATATGCTTAGGTGTTTAAGCTAATAACAAATGACTTGCAAAAAACAACTGACATCTCTATGAAGCTTGTCAGTTTTTAATGAGCTGAATTTTATACTTTTGCTAAATAATCCATGTTTTATGGCTGTTGGGCAGAGTTAGTAGTCTTTAAAACAGATAGAGCTGAAGTTTTAGGAAAAAGATGATAGTTTGGGTTAAAATAAAAAGATTTCTTCCAGTAAGGGCTCTCTGTCAGAAAGCCCTGATGGTTAACTGACCCCCATGTTTTGTTTTGTGTGTGTCACAGAAGGCAATTTAAAGTAAACTCTACTGCACTTCAGTGGTTAGTTATTTACATTTTTTATGCGTGGCTTTTTATCTTTCATGACCAAAGGTAAGAAAGAAAGAGGTGGCAGCTTCTTCTGTAACAGACAGTGTTAGATGGGCAGATGATACCCAGCAGGCAATAGTTGTGATTTAAACGTATTGGCTATATTTAGCTCCGATTTAGTCTAGCTACATGTAACCCAAATCTAGCTGATTTTATTTTGAAATTGATTAAATGTAATTTTCACCATTGCAGATGGCATGCAGTATGATATTCAATCACGTATGGAGAGTCAACAGTAATTAAAATATGTTTATCTCCATTTTTTGGACATGGTCTCTACATAGCCGTATAATTGATGACGTCTACACTTTGGCTATGGTTAGACGTCTACCAAATTTTCACTGACAGCCCAAATTCAGCCGTGATTTAGCCTAGATGTCAGGTCTTCATGTAGATGCTATTAGACGTTTTTTAAACCAAAAAATGCTTGCTGGGTATTGTCTTATATCGTTCACAGGCCCCTAAATCGCCTTGAATCGAAATCCTATCGTAGCAGACTTTGTAATATTGGTAAATATCGTATCGTCCAAAGAATCCATATAATATTGTATCGTGAAAACGCTGGTGATTTACACCCCTACTTTCTACTGCATAGACAGCCCAGGTTTATGAAGATACCATCTTTCCAGCTGTGAACTATTTCTTTAAGAAGTAGGATTAGGACACAACACAAAGAGGAACACTTCATCCTTCAGTTTATCACAAACATTCAACATCAACACATCTGATGAGAGATACATGGTTTTTACTGGACAGGAGGGGTATAAAAAACTGTCATCTGAAAGGTAGCTAAGGCTGTCAGACAAATGTAGTGCAGTAAAAAGTACAACATTTACCTCTGAGATGTAAAGAAGAAGTATAATGATGAATAAAAAGGAAATGCTCAAGTCAAGTAAAATCTGACTCTTTCTCCTTGACTGCTGTAACACTGGAATTTCTCAATTGTGGGTTCAATAAAGGTGTATCTTATCTCTTATCTTAAGTACATTACTTGAGTAAATGTACTGTATGTTACATTTCACCACTGCTTGTTGGATAATTGTAATCTACCACATTGGCTACAGAGATTCTCACTATACATTAAGAAAACACTATAATGTGCTACAATAGACTTCATGATGAATAGCAAATAATCATTGTTTTTTTGTTCATTGCTGTAACATGCAATGCAATTGAAGCAAACCTCAAACCCCTCCATTAGGGTGAGGATGTCTTTCTGCAGATGTGTGTCCCTGACCCTCTCCAGGACTCTAACTTTGTCACCATAAACATTATGAATCATCACCACAGATGTTCCCTTCAGTCCAGTTGCTGTAGTCTTTGATTTGGACCTCCTCCAGCGTCTCTGCTCCACATCAAAGCATCCGCTCATTTCGACTAGATTTGCATTTTTTCTGCCAATTAAAAGCAGAGGTCGGGTTTGTTTACATCTGCTGCGCTGGCTTCATTTTCCTCAGTGTGACATTAAACACCAAATAAAGCTGAAATCCCAGGAAACCATCGTAAATGTGTCTTTATGCAGCGGGAGGGAGGTTAGACACATAAAATATTAATTCAGAAATAAATATAAATACTGATGTTGTTGCATGTGCACCAGCAATGTGCACACCTAATGTTTGCAGTGACATTCAGAGAATTTTGGAAACTTTTATGTCAGATCTATTTCAATTGCCAGTCAATGTTTCATTCAGTAGTATGGATAAATGTCAGTTTATTCAACATATAACTGACATCCTGCTGTTGTGTTTTGTGTTTGTTTTCTGTCTATATTGTCTTGTTACAAGGTGCTGTGTATTTCCTGCTTTTCATTTTATTTTCTTGTGTCATATTTTTTTAAATTAGAAACACTGCTTCTAAAGAACATGGTTAAACATGTTTGTATTGACTTTAAACTTTTTAGTTACACCCAACCGCAACTCTCAGGGTTCCCACACATTTTTACCAATGAATTTTCGAACCCTTTAACAAAACTTTCTTATAACATATGACTTTATTTGTAGTCATTTATATGTGTAGTTCTATACAGTGATTGAGCTGTACATTATTAAACACACATTTCCATTTTCAGATAAACAAACTGCTTGCATTGCTAACTTTACTCGCTCATTAGAAATTCCCACCACCAACTAGCTGTATATACCAACAGACCAGAATGGCACATACAAGTATTTCACAGGCCCCTCCCCTTTTTGGGGGACAGAAAACCAAAAAGTCCTGTAGATATCAATGCAATGTGAAACGTGTTTGCGTTATGATTTCTACAAATTTATATGCATTCATTTGCAATACCGTCACATCCTGTCATGTCCCGTCATATCCCGTCATGTCCTGTAAGTCTTCCCCCGTCCACATAGATCTATGACCCAACAGAGTGGCTGGATATTGATTATCTGGGCATCCAGATCATGATACCTTGTAATTCCATCAAATATGTGTATTCGATTGGATTACCAGGTGTTGTTAGGTTGTAAAGTGTTGTCTGTAAATAACCAACCTGTTAACACCCAACTCTTTGATCTGATTAAAGTCCGATGCCACTCTTTTGTGTGACTGTAACAGCAGCAGCCTGTTTGGTCAGAGAATGGACCCACTGGTCCATGTGGGTTCAGTACTGTTGCTGTTATGAGATGTGATGGTTGGTCTGTGTGGAATTCCCCCCCTCCCAGAGGAGACGACTGGTATTTTGTGGTGGCATGTCATTGCATCTCACCAGTTAAGGAGCTAAAATTTGTGTGATCTCCTGGGTGTTGTATTTCCATCACAACAATCAGAACTGGAGCCAATAAATTCAAGTGACTACTGCACCTACTGTCTTTTCACCCAGATGTAAATGACAATTGTAAGCTTTCCCACTATATCCAAAAGCCAGATGTCATTGTGTGTTCTTTGTGCAGTGTAAATGGGGCTCTAGAGTGAGTTAAGTTGATCTACATTTTCCCAACAGGTAAGTGTAAGTATGAAGTAAAAAGACGGTATAATTAGGTTCAATGGTAGGTTTACAGATTTGTAAAATCAAAAATGTGGACTTCTACACAGAAGAGCATGACTCATTTTGACGAAAAGAAATAATTATATGGATAGATGAAATTAGATCAAATGTGTGTTCTTTTAAGCTAAGCTAATATTTGGAAAATTAAATTTAAGTAATTTTCAGACTTTTTATGGTGCTACACACACCCTGACTGAAAACACAAAGTGTGCCTGCCACACATGCACACCACTGATGTAAACACACACACAGGCAGCACATTAGGATAATGAATTTAGATAGAGAACACAGAGAACAGAGCAGAAATCAATGTGATGTTCAACACGGTGAAACATCACAACAACACACACAAACACACACACACCTGTCCACCTACTTCAGTGTGTGGAACGAATGGTGCAGAAGAGTTTGCTGATCCGGAGCGGAGCACTGGAACAGAGAAGATGGATGGCTGGGTGGATGTATGGATGGATGGATGGATGGGTTGGTTGGCGATCAGGTTCGGGTCACAGGCTGATGTGTCCCAGACGGATTCTTCTGCCAGTCTGAACACTGGAGGAAGCAATCGATGGGGGGGGACGTCGGAGGCCTTGATCCACCAGGCAGAAAGGAGACAGGAGAAAACTCAATCTGCAGCTCACAGCGGTAATTCAAAGAGAGAAACTACCGACAAACAACAAACTAACTCCTGTCAACACTTTCTGGAACTATTTCTCACTTCATCCAGTCAGGTTTTCAACAGTTTGCTGAAGGCCCACAGAAAACAGATATTATTATATACTAGAGCTGCAACAGTACATTGATCGACAGAAACAAAATCACCAACTGTTTTGATCATCGATTAATCTTTAAAGTAATTTTTCACGCATAATGCCAGAAAATGATATTTTCAGCCTCTCAAACATGAGATTTCCTAGGTTTCTCTGTTTCGCATCATGTTAAACAGAACATTTTTGGGTTTTGAACAAAACAAGACATTTAAAGACCTCTGACTTTGAGAAACTGGTATGGACATTTTTCATTATTTTCTGACATTTTATAGACCAAACTATTAATCTATTAATCAAGAAAATAATTGGAAGATGAATAACTAATGAAAATAACCATTACTTGCAGCCCTATTCTGTGTTATATTTCAACTAAAACAGGAAAAATCTGCAGAATCTCCCTTTACACCTCTATAATAATCACAGGTACATCAGCAGAGAAGAAGTTCTGCTTTCAAAGGTCGACTTTCACTATCTAACAATCAGACTTTAAACAGACGTCTTTATTTATCTCTTACACCAAGCTCTGTAGTTCAAGATTCAGGATTCACTTTATTTTCCCACACTGTAGGGAATTTGGATTGGGCTTCTACCTGCACTGCATCAATAAAAATATTGCACATACATCAAAGGCAAGAGTAAATTTAGGAACCTTTTTTGATTGTACTTTAAGTTTTACAATCAACAGGGACCACAATTTTTTAAAAAAGTTTGCAGTGCTTGTATCTAATCAGGAATTAGATTATTATAATAGAAACAAGAACATTTTAGAGACTGTTTACAGAAGTCTTGTTAAAAGTGTTTTAACTTAAAATATGTGCACTTGGTGTGGGCACCTGCAGGAACAAAGATAGACTGTGCAGAATTACAAACATGGCCAGTAAAATTATTGGAACAGAACAGAAAACAACTGTAAAGCTGGAGCTGGAGTTGGTGTTCTTGGGGGTGCTGCAGCACCAAGAACATTTTCAAAAAGTATTTTATATTAAATGCAATAACTTTGCTAAATTTGTAATCACTCTTCACACCATGTCAGTAATTGTTGTCTCGACTGTGCATGTTGTGTTATGTAGTGTGATTTAACAATGTGTTTTAACTGCCCAATGAAGCCAAAGGCAAATTTCCATATTTGTGGGCAATAACAATTATTACTATTACTATTATTATTATTATGCTTATTATTCATTCATTCATTTTCTGTAACTGCTGGTCTCAACGGGGCTGAAGTTGATGTCAGCTGACATTGGGTGAGAGGGGAGTTTCACCCTGGACAGGTCGCCAGACTATCACAGGGCTGACACATAGAGACAGACAACCAGAAATTTAGAGTCACCTATTAACATGCATGTCTTTGGACAATTAAAAAAAAAAAAATCTATGGCTTATATTTAGGGATGTACTAATTGTGAAATTCGAGGCCGATACTGATGATTAAAATGACAATTTGGCCAAAATTAATGTGTTTTTTTTGTTTGTTTATTTGTTTTGTCTTATTTTTTTAGCTCTCATTTATTCCCCATTTCAAGCCAGGAAAACAAAGGAATACAAAATAACTGAACTGTTTTTAAAGCCATACAGTCCTTCATTACACAACCTTTGAACAAGCACAAATTTAATCATACATATTTATGAAATAACCTTTAATGTCACCTTCTTTGACATGAAAAACATGTTTAAAATAATAACTGCATCAAAAGCTTTTTACTATATATGTCATAACTTCCTCTCTAATATCTATTTTATATTTTATATTTTATATATATGTGAAAACATCAACAAATTTCTCCTTCAAACAGCTGTATTTTTTTAAGTTGTCTCCAAAATATACAGTTTACAAGATAACACTGAACACATCATGAGAACATTGTAATTTACCTTCACCCAATAATCATTTTTACTAAATAGACCTTGAACACATCATCATGTAACTCAATGTAACCTCCATTAGCTGTTATTTCTGGCTGCTAGCTGCTAACAGCTAATGTTAAATTACTCTACTCCTGCTGATGTCAACACAGTTTTGTTATTCACAATGTAGCATTATCAGGGAAACAATAGGGTGTGTCCTCTGATGCACTGATAATGACTTTACTGTGTCCTTTCATTCCGATGGTGTCCCTGGGAAGATCTCTGTTCTGCCCAAACACATCTTCTATTGTCCTGCTTTTTAGCATGCAAAATTGATGTGACACAACGGAAAAACATCGGCCACTGCCATCAGTCAATGTCGCATTATTTGCTGATGACAGTCAACAAGGCAAATATCGACCGATACTGATGTTCGGTTGACCTAATAGTCAGACTTTACATTAATGTGCCACAAAAGAAATTTTTAACTATCTTAAGTGATAGCCTACAACTTTTTTTTTAACTAAAAAAAAACACTGACTGACTGGCTTTTTTTAAAACTGTCAGCTCCGTTAGCTCCAACAGAAAATGATTCCTTTCCGGACTAATTCAACGGCTACAAGGCACACCTACACCTGCATAAAGGCTTGACAGAAAATGAGTCTTAAATGGAATTTGGCCATTCTGACAATATCAGGGAGGGACACCTCGCAGCTCAGATTTAAAAGACAAAAACATTTCTTCTCTGTTGCAAAGATTTAAGTCTCATTTTAAGTCATCTACACTGCCAAAAACTTTCAGGGAAATCTTCCCACTCAGATTCCAACATCTCAAAACACACACGTCTGCTTTCAGTCTGAGTGTTTGATAGTGAAGAGGCAGTTGTGACGCTGGATTGAGAGACTGGATAAAAAGCATTTAGCAGCTCAGTGTGAACGGTGACACTGACAGCAGCGTCTGTTGATCTGCAGGATTCAGACTGAAAGCTCCGGTGAGACGGAGAGGGTTCGTCCAGTCAGCTGGGACTGAAGGAAAATCCTCCTTTATTGATCCGTCGCTCCTGCAGAGCCGTCCATCAGTCAGCCGGCTCTGCAGAGACACACAGCGCTGTACCTCTATACCTGTGGGGACTCTCATTGACATAATCCATTCCCGAATACACACACAGGCCTTCAGTCAGCAGCTAAGACTGTTTGACAGCTCTGTGTCTGAACGCAACTGCAGTATTTTTACACCAGGAACTGTGTTTCACAGTTTATCTATTGTTATGAGGTTCATGAGTTGTGAACTAAAATTTTACAAACCTAAACAATAAAAAAACAGGAACATCTCCACTGTAGTCGTATATTACTTTCCATACTGAAGAAGACGTGTTTATACCTTTTACAATGTGGAGAGAGAGACCGCTCGTGACGGATAGGAACTTGGCCAACACTCAAAGTTTGCATAAAGCTGTGGCAGAAAAATAATTTGGCAAGTGATTGTTTGAGTGTTTCTATGGTAGCAAACTGAACACCTTCGGATTTTGGACTGTTTTTAGACAAAACAGGGCATTTTAAAGGTGCTTTATTTAATATTCAGACATTCATAAAGACCTTAAAATTAATCGATTACTTTAGAAAATAACAATGACAATATTTACTAGTTATAGCCCTATTTGTGGGGAAAAAGGCTGGATTGGTGCATCCTTAGTCCTCACTTCCCAAAAATAACCTCAAGATCCAACTCAGACTGGGCCTCACAAAGATAGATGTACAACAGATCATACACACACACACACACACACACACACACACACACAGCCCCATTGCACCAGAACAGCAGACATGATGATGATCTAATGCCTCATTTCCTCTGTATGGTTCAGCTGGAAAAAAAAATCTATTTTGGCACCAGGTCCTTTTCTGTATTTTGCTGTCCACTGCACGAGGGGTGAGGGGAAAAAAATTGATACAGCATAGTATTGCAATATTTTGCACTGCAATATTGTATCACTACACAGACACCAAGTATCAATCTTTCATTATATCCATATTCAGTTTCACATATACTGACTTTAATACAACTTTTGTTACTAGAATAATAAAATCAATTGCTTTTTCGATCCGCTAGATGGCGCTGAATTTTTTTTCCCCAGTGAGGTCAGCAGAGGTCTCAGTCAGTGGCATTTGGTAGGAAGATCATCAAAACAAAGATGGAGGCACCGGAGACAGAAATCAGAAATGCAGTGTTGACATTTAAATCAAACGTCTGGAATTATTTGGATTTTTTAACACAGAAGGAGAGGATGTGGAGATGACATGTGATTTGCAAGCAGTATCATATGAGAGTAAAATACTCTGGTAATACTATGAACATGAGGGCTCACCTCACACACCACCATCCAGAGGTATGTAGCGTTAGCCACTGATGGCCAAGCTAACCCTAAACCAACTCCATTGAAAAATCAACCGACACTGGAAACACTTTACTTGACAAAACTACCATCCAACTCAGAGAAAGCTTTTGTTTCATGCTAAAAACACTGGAACCCTGGTATGTGACTCCGTCCCAATGTCTTTTCACCAAGCTCTACAGAGAAGTGAAGCATGAAGCGGAGGAATCTTTGAGAATAGCAGGAAGGGTGGCATTCACTTGTGATGCGTGGACTTCAAGGTCAGTGGAATTATATGTGATGATAATAGCATATTATCTCACAGAGAACTGGCGACTGCTGTCTCACGTCCTCCAAACTAGAGCCATACACGAAAGTCACATTGGAGCAACCCTCGTCCTCCGTGACTCTGTCATGAACGAGCAATAGCTGCTAGTTACCCTGGATTTAGACACCTGTTCAAGGGATAGTGCAGCCAACATGAAAATTCAGCCATTATCATGCATTCAGCCTTTGTATTTTGTTGTTATCCTATTAAATATGTTATTTAAAATTTTCACTGCGCTGCTAAATTTCTTTCTGTGCTCCTAAATTTTTTCA